TGACGAGAAGCAATGGCCCAAAGCAATGGAAGAAAAGCTTTGGTGAAACTGTCAGTAGGTGGAGAAAGAAACTCCTGACTATCTGAGGAATGGAACAGGCAAAGCAATCCCCAGAGGAGGCATCTGAAACATTTTGGTACAGGAAGCCCAAAGCCCTTGAATAAGAAAAAGAGATTAACAACTGTGTTCCTCAATAACGTGTCACCTTTCACTCTTGTCAGAAATTGGATCTCTCAGCAACACCCTGAAAGGCAGCCCCTAAGATAAGGCTACGTAATCAGAGGTGTGTGTGAAGGCTCTTACTGAGAGGAGAAAAGAATAGTCAAGAATACTCTGACACACCAATACTGTACAATTATGAACTAAAATATAGGCAAAACGTGTTATTTTATGCATATTCTATGTAATGTCATATCTTACCCAAGTTGTCTCAGAGAAAATATAAAACCTTCAATTATACCTTACCATTCTGTGTTCAATACAAAGTTTGAGCATCAGTAAGTTCAACCATTGAGTTAATATCATTAAATGTGTTATGCCATCTAACAAATTAGATGCATGAAATATACAAATATGTGAGCCCGAAATACTTATGAGTAGGCAAACATATACCCTTAGGACAGTAATGTGAAAATCAACTTCTAGCCAAAACCGGTTTGGCTCAGTGGATAGAGCGTCGGCCTGCGGACTGAAAGGTCCCAGATTCGATTCCGGTCAAGGGCATGTACCTTGGTTGCGGGCACATCCCTAGTGGGAGATGTGCAGGAGGCAGCTGATTGATGTTTCTCTCTCATCGATGTTTCTAACTCTCTATCTCTCTTCCTTCCTCTCTGTAAAAAATCAATAAAATATATTTTAAAAAAAGAAAAAAGAATCAAACTCAGAGACCTTTCAGTGCTCGGTACTTTGCTCAAACAACTGAGCTCAATCCACTTTTTATTGTTTGTAAATCCTCACCTAAGGATATTTTTTCCATTGATTTTTAGAACAAGAGGAAGGGAGAGGTAGAGACAGAGAGAAACATCTATGTGAGAGAGACATATCAATTGATTGTCTCCCACATGGGCTGGGGATGGAGCCTGCAATAGAGT